TCTGCTTCTCTCTTGGCTTCTCTGCTTCTTGGCTTCAGCTGGCGTCCCCATGACGCCACCCTTATAAAGTCAGTCTTAGCCCAGGTGTATGCACTTCAGGTGGCTGCCATCAGGCATGCATTCAGGACCACAGGGTTCCCTCATCTATCCTAATGATGGGAGGGCAGAAAAACCTGATACTTTTTTCCTTACCCTACAACTTTCCTTATCCTTCACGGCACCCCTGCCTGCTGTGTACCTGGCAAATCCCAATAAAAGCCTGAAAAAGCCACTGAGGGCTCCAGGACTCACTCCTCCTTCACTGGTTTGCATGGAATCATAGAGAACCTCCTTTGAACCCTTCCTGCCACTACAATTGGCGTAAGTCGGCAAGATGATTCAATGCAGACAGGTGTGGAGCCTTCAGAAGACCTCAGGAGGGACTGAGAGTAGTAGACTGCCTGGGACAGCACTGGATGTGCCATGGCAGCACAGGAGGTGGACTAGGTCTGGAAGCTGCGGGATGAGACCTTGCCTGGAGGAGGAGATGCTGAGAGGACCAGCCAATGACCCCCGAGGCAGCAAGAATCATCGGGAAGGAAGGACTATGATTCCGAGCTCCCCAGTGCAGACAAAGGGAGAAGCTTATGGATTTGGGACTAATGTACTTGGATTGACAATCCCGCCAGAAGGCAGAAGGAACCTTGGCAGATTAAGTTTTGGGGACCCTGGTGGAGGATGCTATTGTTTGTACACCCCAGGAGATGGGAATCTGGGGGTGGCCAGTGGGCCTCAGTGGCCAAAAGCAGCCTGTGTACTGCCTAGTATTCAGTACTGGGTGTTACTGGTTATAGGGTATTACGGGCAGGAATGGGCACAGTGTAGGTTTTACTGATCCAGCAGACCGGGTAAATGTGAAGTCCTGTACTCCAGGCAGAGGAGAAGAAACCAACTGAGAAGGCAAAATCTGGTGCTAAGATTGAGAAGTCCTGAGCGGCTGTTACACAGCTTAAATATGTTGAAGGCCAGTGAGTCTCATAAAATAACCTGTGGATGATGCCCTGCTCATTGTCGAGTGAGGGTGAGAAGCTGAGGAACCCGTCCTTGGGGGATAGGTGGGGAATGTGGCTTGGGGTGGAGCCCAAGCTGAAGAGGGGACCCGAGAGAGGCTGCATGTGGAGTTTGGATCCCCGACCCATGTGTTTGTGCAGTGGGTTGGCCTGAGTGCAGGGGTCTGTGTGTCACATTGGGGGCTATGAAAGCCGAGTGTTGGAGTGACCGCAGACAGAAAACCTGAGGCTTGGCGATTACCCCCAACAGTAGAATAGAATCGCCAATCCAGAGTGAGTGCATCCTGGGGTGGATGAGGCCTGTGCGTTGTAGCTGAGACTACAGCCAGAGAAGCCAGGAAGCCTGACTGCTCCTGGTGTGTGTCGGCAGATGGCTTGAATGAGCAGTGCCTTCGGCAGCAGAAGTGGTGGATCATCTGCTGGTGCCAATAATGTTATCTTTTGCCTCTAGGTTTGTGTCCTGCCTGGATGTAGGGGTAGGACTGGACCATTGTGCAGGTTTTCTGATCCCATGCAGACCGGGTAAAGGAGGAGTCAGAGTCCTCAGGAGTTTTGCAGGTTTTTTATTGGGGTTCACCAGGCATATGGCAGGCAGGGGTGCTGGCTGGGAGGCTGGCAGGCCTCCCAGCCCCCAGCAAGTCTTCACTCTATCTGGGCTCTCTAGCATTCATTCTGCTGCTTCTCGGCTTCTCTTTCAGCTTCTGCTTTGGCTTCTACTGCTGCTGCTGCTGCTGCTGGCGTCCCCATGACGCCGCCCTTAAAAAGCACAGTCTTAGCTCAGCTGAATCCCATCTACCTATGCCCACACCCTATTCCAGGTGCCCGCCGTCAGGCATGCATTCAGGACAAGGATCCATCATCTATCCTGATGGCGGAAGGGCAGAAAAGCCTGACATTTTCTTTACCCTACACTGGACTTGTTTGTATTTTGTTGCTATATTTAGTTGTATTCTATTTACTTGCGTGGGCCATGGCTGCAGTGTCCATATTCACTAAGAGAAATGTGTGTATAACTTTTATAGACTGGCAGAAAACACTGAGGGGGTGGATTGTAGAGTAAGGTAAAAAATAATCAGGCTTTTCTGCCCTCCCGCCATTAGGATTGATGATGGATCCCTGTGGTCCTGAATGCATGCCTGATGGTGGGCACCTGGAGTAGGGTGTGGGCATGTGTAGGTGGGTACACCTGGGGTGAGAGACTGTGCTCATAAGGGCGGGGTCACAGGGAAGAGCAGAGCTAAAGGAACAGAGAAGCAAAAGCCATGAGAGACAATGGGGAGCCCAGAAAGAGTGAAGATTTGCCGGGGCCTAGGAGGCTTGCCAGCCTCCTGGCACCCCTGCCTGCCGTGTACCTGGTTAATCCCAATAAAAGTCTTCAAAAGCCACCAAGGGCTCCAGGACTTCTCCTTACCCTGTCTGCTCCAATCATAGAGAACCTGCTCTGTGCCCATCCTGCCTCTACAGGGGCCCTGGACAGGGAGGCTCAGGAAAACAGGGAAGCATCTTCTAGCCTGAGAAAGAATTTGCCTGAGAGAAAAAAGGTAAGCTCGGTACATATAAATAAATCCCTTCTGCTACAACCTAAAGTACCATGTTCCAAGGAAAACAATTTGTATGAGGTTAAATAGACTTTTTTTTTAGGCAATACCATCTTTATTTGAAGGAGCAAATGACAAAACATATAGATTTAGTTAATTTGTAGGCACTTTCTAGAAATTGAATGTGAATCTGTCCCCAATTGACAGGGGCCTCCCTGGTGCCACAAGGGGTTAAGCATCAGCACTATGAAGCTGTCTGCAACTACTGCAGCCAGAGTTTGATCCCCAGCCAGGGAGGTGACCCACATGGAGCAGCAGACCTCTCCTGTCTTGACGGCTGATCCCTTGAGCAGTGTATTTCAGTCAATCTGCCTGTTCTGCTCCCCACTCTGTCTCTGGTGAATCCTCTCACACATACCCACCCCACCTCTGGCCTGTACCCCAGTACTTGTCCGCATAAATAAATCTTAAAAAAAAAGAAAATCTACTGACAGTTGACAATTGATAGTAATTAATTGCCTTGATGAAATGCAAAGCCAAGGGAAAACCAGGTGTTAGAAAATCGTGTCCCATCACTATAAGCTTGACCACTTCCTGTACCAACCAATTTTTCCTTTGGGATCTTTGTAATATAAAATAATTGATTTCTAAAATTTGATTCTGCAATAATAAACACAGTGATCATATAGCTGAAAGGTCCACGCAGGAGGCCTGAATGCAAAAACCCACCAGGAAGCCCACCTGGGGGCAGGAATGCGGAAACCTCCCTGGAGGATTCAGACAATGAGCCTCCTGCCTCCCCCTATGGGTCTCTTCTCAGACAAAGAACCTCTACCTGCCCCACAAATCTTTTCGGCCCTACTACAAACTTTTTCCTGTGGTTCGAGCCCAACTTCCCCCCTGATCTCTCCTCACCCTATAAAACTCTGCTTCCACCTGACAACGTGTGCAGCTTCACTGACCCCCACCTTGGGTGCGTGAGGTCTGCCCGGGGCGCAATAAACTTTCCCTGCCTTTGAGAAATTTAGCCTGGCCCCCCTTTTCTTTACCGTGCCGAACCTTTCAATAGCCTAGTGAAATAATGTATTACTTTTAAAAATCATATTAGTTGAGAGCCATTAATATGCAAGAGAGGTCTACAGAATTAATGTAATAGAATAGAAAATATTCAGTGATAGTGTATAAGGTTTCTCTTTTCTAATAACATGTGAAAAACTATCACTTGTACAATTTCAGTTTATAATCAAAGTTGTAACAAAGTTGAATACTCACAATTATCCTAAAAAATTATAAAATGCTATTCCTACATATTTCTTTCAGGCTGTATAATTTTTGCGTTGACTGCCCAAAACAACAGACTAAATGCAAAAGAAAATATGACAATCCAACTTCTAATGAGTCAGAGAAGACACTTGCAAAACTATAACTGTAAAGATCCACTTCTCACTACCATTGTTAGGGGGAAAAGGATGTCCTAAAGCTAATTCCATACAGCCTTTGTGGACTCCACCCCCACCCCAGGCCAAAGCTAAAGACACTGGGAACTCCAAATCCCATCACCACCAAAGGGAAGGTGGCTGGGACCTGAGGGTGGGGTTAAGCAGCCAGGTGGATGTAAAAGGCAGACACGTGGGCTTTGGGGGTTCCCCATTTTGGCTCTCCACCAGCTCGCAGCCTCTGGCCAGCTCTGAGAATGCCATTGGGTTTCCAGGTTGGAGGATCGGGTAGGACGCATTAAAGACTTTATTTCCCTATTTTCTCCCTGAGTTGTACATTTTCCTTATTTCCTTTTCCCTTGTAAATAAACCTTTTATTAACCTTTTGTGTGTGCCTGTAGTGGAGTATTAATAAGTCCCTTTTAAGCGCGCGGGTGAGGACCCACAGCCAGGCAACCCGTTCAATATCGGGGCTGCCCTACAACAGCATGATGATTTTCGGAAAGTTATTTGTCTTTAAAATAGTTAACACGCATTGGATTATTAATAATCTTCTAAATGAAATAAAAACATGTTTAAATGATTTTATTCCTTGTGTGGTGAAGATTGACAGTTTTATCTGCATAAAATTATACTTGGGGGTCCTTGGGGATTTGTAAGACTGAAAGGAAAATGTTTGAGAATGGGTGAGGCAGTCCCAGGGCCAGGACAAAGGTCTGGGTGCCGAGGGGAGGGTGTAGGGCAAAGTCCCAGGTCCTGGGTGTGACTCTCAGGTCTTGGACCCAAGGGCGGTGTCTCAGGCATGAAGGTTACTGTTGAGGATTCCCCAGCTCCCTGCAGTTCCACTCCTCCCTCTCACCTGAGTGGGGCCCTCAAGCCTGGACTCATGACTCACCCCCAGTTCTCCCCACTGCCTGGAGGGTTTGCAGAGCAGCCAATCAGCAGCCCCGCAGCTCCTGTTACAAAGTCTACACTCGCCAGCCCCGACACCCAGCTTCTGTGGCCAAGTGGGTGAGGGCCATGGGGCCCCCGCCCCTCCTGCTGCTGCTCTTGGGGGTCCTGGCCCCGGGGGAGACCTGGGCAGGTGAGTGCGGGTCGGGAGGGAACCTGCGCAGAGGAGCGAGGGGGGGGAGGTGCTCAGAGGCTCTTTTCCGCCTTCGCGCCCGGGTGTCCCCCTCAACCCCGCCCTGGCCCTTTCCTGCCCCTCCCCAGCCCAGCGGCCCCCCCCCCTCCTCTTGCCCCTTGATTCCCGGCCCTTCTCATCCCGCCGCCCCTTAACTCTCTCAGGAGCCCCCTTCCCCCCCTCCCCACCCTCCCCGTCTCCCCAGCCCGGGTCTCCCCCTCCCGCCCCCAGGTTCCCACTCCCTGAGGTATTTCTTCACCGCGATGTCCCGGCCCGGCCTCGGGGAGCCCCGCTTCATCGCTGTGGGGTACGTGGACGACACGCAGTTCGTGCGGTTCGACAGCAACTCTCCGGGTCGGAGGGCAGAGCCGCGGGCGCCCTGGGCGGAGCAGGTGGGGCAGGAGGCCCTGGACGAGGAGACTCAGATCCAAAGAGACAATGCACAGTGGTTCAAAGCGCTCCTGAGGGACCTGCGTGGCCGCTACAAGCAGAGCAAGGACGGTGAGCTTCGCAGAGCGGTGCCAGGGTCAGGTCACCCACATTCCCACCATCAGGCCGGGGTGTCCCGAGTCTCAGTGTCCACTGACCCCTCGAGGCTGGTGGATCTGCCAGGACCCTCCCCGGGAAGAGCCTGTGAGACTTTCCTGCCAGCCCTTTCATTTTCAATTTTTGGTTTATTCAGGGTGGGAGGGCGGGGTGACCGTGGGGTGACCTCAGGGCTGACCAGAGGGATGGGTCTCAGGTTCTCACACCCTCCAGACGATGTTCGGCTGTGAAGTGGGCCCACACCTGAGCCTCCTCCGCAGTTATGAAAAGTTCGCCTACGAAGGTGCGGATTTCATCTCCCTGAGCGAGGACCTGCGCTCCTGGACCCCCGCGGACTCGGTGGCTCAGATCACCCAGCACAAGTGGGAGGCTCAGGAGAGGGCCGAGCACGTCAGGCACAGTGTGCAGAGCAGGTGCTTCCCGTGGCTCCTCAGATTCCTGATTTTGGGGAAGGAGGTGCTGCAGCGCACAGGTAAGAGGGGCCACAAGGCCTGGGACCTCCCCTCTCCTGGCGCCCCACAGGGAAAATGGAATAATGGGCAGAACAGCACCTGCTTTCTGGGCAGAGAGGGAGAGTCCCCCTGGGTTTCATGTTCTGTGCTAGAGACAGACTCGCCCAGAAGGCACCACTTTTCTTGACAGTCTCTCCTGAGGGAGGGAGGCCATCCTGAAAAACTCTTCCCTGGATGCTTTTGACCCAACAGCCATCCCAGGAACCCTGAGTTTCTCTTTCAAGTTCTTGTTTTTGGTCTGAGAACATTTCTGGATCTGACTCCTGTCATTCAACCTCCACCCAGGTCAGGAGCAAAAGTCTGTGTTCTCCTTAGAGACCTGCATCCTCCACCCTGGGCTCTCACCTGATTATCCCAGATTCCCCAGACTAGGCTGGTTTCTGGGCTTTGTGCTTCCTGCCTCCAAACCAACTGTCATGTCCATTCTGAGGATGGTCAGTGAGGCTGCTTCAGTGTCCAGGAAGGAAAAACCCAAAGTCTGAATTTTTTTGTCCTTCTCCTCAGATCCCCCAAAGACACACATGACCCACCACCCCACCTCTGAGCATGAGGTCACCCTGAAGTGCTGGGCCCTAGGCTTCTACCCTGCCAATATCACCCTGACCTGGCAGCGAGATGGGGAGGACCTGACCCAGGGCATGGAGCTGGTGGACACCCGGCCTGGGGGGGACGGAACCTTCCAGAAGTGGGCGGCTGTGGTGGTGCCTTCTGGAGAGGAGCAGAGATACATGTGCCGTGTGCAGCATGAGGGGCTGCTGGAGCCCCGAGTCCTGATATGGGGTAAGGAGGAGGGTTGTGAGCACAGAGGCTCTGCTCAGGGTTATCAGGAGCCCTTCAGAGGGTCAGGATGAGGCCTGGAGCTCAGGGTCTCACCTTCCCTTCCAGTGCCCCCTTCTCAGTCCTCCATCCCCACTGTGGTCATCATTGCTGGCCTGGTTCTCCTTGGAGTTGTGCTCATTGCGGTGGTTGCAGCTATGATGCGGAGAAAGAAGCACTCAGGTAGGGAAGGGAGTAGGAGATCTTATCCATTGGGGCTTGCAAGTCAGGGGGAACTTGCCCTACCTGGTTAATGGGAAATACCATCCACACACATGTGTTTACCAGGGGGGCATTTTGTCAGTCCCCCCTCACCTCCTTTATTTTTTCCCAGGCCTGACCTGGGTCTTTAGTCACAGTTCTGGAAACTTCCCTGTTCTGCAGGATTAGAAGATTCCTTTAGAACTTCTGACCTGACTGCTCCCTGGTCTCACATGATCTCTCTTCCCACAGGTGGAAAAGAAGGAAGCTACACTCAGGCTCCAGGTAAGTGTGGATCAGGAGTTTGATCCCTGATCTCCTGGGGACAGTGTAGATGGAGCCCATGGGGAGTCACCCTCATCAGTCCCTCCTGTGGTCTCATCTCTGACTAAGTTTGTTGTGTTCTCCCCTGGGCTGCAGCAATGCCCAGGGCTCTGAAGTGTATCTCAGCCCCTAAAGGTGAGACCCTGGAGGACTTCAGAAAGGGCTGGGGGTTGAGGCAGAGAAGCAGGCACTAGGTGATGGGGATGCTTTTAGGAGGGCATCTTGAGAATGCAGTGGACCATTGATAATGCTAACACTCAGGTAATTCACCTGAATTTCTTCATGATTATTTTCTTTCATGGTGAGAGACAGCCTTGTTGGCCTGGGTATTATGGGATATATTTTTGCCCACATTTTGTGGCTTTATGATCCCCTGGTTTAAACTACTCCAGACCTGCAAGAATGGCCCATGTCAAAAAGACCAGAAACAGCCAGTGCTGGCAAGGATATGGAAAAAAGGGGACAGTCCTACATTGTTTTTGCATATAGACTGAGCCAGCCCTTTTTGATTTCTAAAAAATCAAATGTGGTTGTGCCATTGGACTCAGCATTTCTACACTGAGGCTCTACTCACAGAGGATAAATACTCTCCTGTGAAGGGACCTGCACTCCCGTCACCACTGCAGCACTATTTACAGTAGCCAAGCTATGGGAACCACCTGAATGCCTCAAGCAGGTGACACATTACGTAGAAGCTGGGATTACACATATTCATATATGTACATGTACGGGTGATATATGTCCCTGTATAAGGAAAGAGCATCCACCATCAAAAACATAACTCATGCCACTGTGGCAACATGGTTGGAAGAGGGATAAGTCAAAAGGAAAAAGAGAAATTCTTATAAATGGATGTAGAGAAAGCAAATGAAGGGCCACATTAAACCAAACTTGAAAACTAACCCTTGTTACTAATCAATAAAAACTGGAATTTCTAAAAAGTATCCATACTACCATGATTCAATCCAGATGTGGGATTATTTATTTATTTATTTATTTATTTTATAGGGATGGAGCAGTGGCCTGTGCAGCCCAGGCAGGATACTGGCGTTCGGAAGCACCGGTGGCACAGAAAGGGAAGGAGATTTTGGAGACAGAATGACGTGGGATCAAAACCCCGATGATTCTCGCTCATTTGGAGAAAAGAACAAGTTGGTACCGCCCTTCTGAATTCAGCTCTTAGCATTTGGGATGTTATATATGTGTGTGTGTGTGTGTCTGTATTAAAAGAAATAGTAATTCAGTTTTTGAGACATGATCTAAGGAAATGCTTTGACACACACACACACATCTTTATTTGTAAAAAATGCTAACCAACATTTTGTCATACTTACAAATACTGGCAACAATCTAAGTCAAAACTTCAGGAAACAGTGAAATATAGTACACTATGTAGGTGAAACAAATGTAGCAATTAGGCACAATCATTCTGAATAGTTTTAAATGACTTGGAAAATACTTGTGTTATAATGTTAAATGAGGAGGAAAGATAGAAGATTGTAGGCATAGCATTATTCCAGAAATAAAATGAACATAATAGGATTGATTTAAATTTTAAATACCAGACAAAATGGAAATCATGTGTTATGTATGCATTTAGTGATGCCCCCTTAGGTGATGAACTGTCATGAAGGGCAAGGGAAATAATTACAATGACAGTCACATATTCCTGCTTACTTGGGGAGAAAAATTATGATATAGTGTGGTCTTAGGATTCTTCACCCACTTTACGGGAGTTCATTTTGCAATTCTAAATTTTCACCTATATAGTCTCTGCCCTTACACATGGGTGTTATAGTTCACAATTCAAAATAGACTGGAAATTATGAGGAAGAAAGTAAGCTAATTCTTAAAATTATCTATTTTAAAAAGATGTATTTATTTTTATGCAAACAAGAACTGGGGTCTAGGGCAAAGGTGCAGGAGGTGAGAGGATTCACCAGAGACAGAGTGGGGAGCAGAACAGGTGGCTCCGCTGAAACCCACTGCTGAGGGGAGCAGTGGGTAAACAGGAGAGGTCCGCTGCACCATGTGGATCAGCTCCCTGCCTGGGGATCAAACTTAGGCCACAGTGGCTGGCAATAGCTTGACAGCGTTGAGACTTTAAATCCTGCACCACTAGGTAGACCCTAAAAGTATTTATCTTTTGAGGAAAAATCACAGTTCACTGTTCCTCATTTTATTTTATTCTAATGTTCAAATATTCCACAATGTACACAACTCCCTTTCAGTTTCAGAATCAGTCAACCAAAGCAAATTTAAAAATTAGTGCAATCAGGAGGTTTCCCGGTGCTGTGTAGGAGGGGAATTGAAACAATGGACACACAAAAGGAAGTTCAGCCTCCAAAGCAGCAGCCAATGATATATATATCTGTGGAGAATGTCACACAGAGAATGAAATAAAATCCAGGGATCCAATCAGATGCAGGGAATGTGGATACAGAATAATATACAAGAAAAGGACTAAAAGATTGGTAGTTTTTGATGCTCGATGAAATGTAGAATTCAGAGGAATATCTTCTTTTGGATTTGGATTTGCTGTTTCTCATTGTGTATAGCTTTTCTTAGCATATTTTAGGAATATAACTTTATACAATTTATTTTACTTTAAAAACTGTTGTATTTAGATGTCAATAGTTTGTATAAAGAAATTATTTTTTGTTCAGTTACATGAGTCATAATTTAATTTTAAAGCATATGTAATCTACCCCAGTATGAAGATTGAAATTGCTTCCCCAAATACACTTCTTATAAAAACCTAGCATCATTTGGAGCCCTTATGAAAAATGGAGTTTTCTCCAGCCCTCTAAAGATCTGAGTAACACTTGGAAGACCCTGTTTTACATCATCAGCTGTTGTAAACTCTAGCATTATTTTGTATGGTGTACACTAGTGTATTTACTGTCTGTGCATACATGTCTTTGGGTTATGTATTTCATTTGTTACTTGGCATAGGTATTTCTATGTGTATTTTGTTTCACTAATTTTAGCAAAAACAAATTTTAATGGTTGCTTTCTGTAAGACAAAATAAAACCAATGATGGGGCAGACAATTAAGGCAGGTATTCTCAGGTTTTAGCATTTGTTAAGGTAAAATATTCTTTCAGAATATAAAAATAAAGATTGGTTAATGTTGAATTACTGGAAAAAAAAATAGTGCAATCATTGGTGCAATTACCCCCCTGCTCCTTGGCAGGTAAGAAGTAACCATAGAATTTTTGTAAAGAAAGCCTTAAAAATTCTGTTGCAGTTACAGAAAAATTTCTAAGGGTGTACATATGGCCTTCCTGATAGTAAAGCAGGGGTGGGCAGAGCAGTCACATATCAGTTAATGTCAAGGTCACCTTGTTTGTTTTTTTTTAACTGAGGGAGATATCATAAGGACAATTTATAAATCTTTATTACCCCAATTATGGAAGGTTCCAGCAATCTAAGGTGGGGTCAGAAAAGATGATGAGCCAGAGGTGGGGGCAGAGAGGATTATGAAACTTAGAAGACCCACCCATTCTGACCCCAAGGCAATAATTTCCACACTCATTCCATCAAAGAACATTATGAAAGAACACCCCTTACCCTTGCCAGAAACCCCATGGACCTCCCTATCCCCCTGGACCCTCCCTACCCCCTTCCCGGTACCTTATTTCCAGCAGCGATGCTCTGGTTGTTCCTCTTCGCTCCTTGCTCTCTACCACAGCCTTTATTTGCTCAGCCCCCCCAGGTCAGGTGTGCCGCGTAAGCACGCCCACCCCTTCCCCTGGGTGCTCACCCTCAGGCAACCGGATGCAAAGCCCACACTCCCAAAGGCCCCCAGTTTTCCCAACTGCAGGTTTGCCACAAGTCGTTTGGCGCAACCCCCAAAAGGAAGCAATCTTCCCTTACCCCTCCTTCCACCCCGCCACTTGCTGTGTCTGGACAGTCCCCACCTGGTTTCTCTTGGCCACGGAACCCCTGCAGCCGTGACCCACACAGGTGAACGGCAGAAACCCGCTCCTTCCAGACAGGGCACCCCCGAAGGCGGAATGAGGAGCCCATTTGCAGGCTCCCGCCATGGTTGCTCCTGACTGCTCCCCATAGCCCCGCTCCCTGCAGGGGAACCACCACTCAGTCTGGGCAGCCTCCATGGTCCAGTGCAGGGGCGTCTGGTTCTGGGCCTCTCCGGGCTGCGGTCTCAGCGCAAGCCACACCCACTCCCCACCCCAAGCTGCGCACACTCTGAGGTCTGAGACACTCAGCTATCTTGTGGGATTAACAGACATTTCTGGACAGAGGTTGACATGGTGCAATATCTTTAGAAGCCTCAGTCTGGCTGCTGTGCAGAATCAAGAGGTAAAGGTGATTAATGTAGGAAACTAGAATAGATTCTAGGATGGAAAATTTAGTAGCTTTATGGGGTGTGATCAGGAAAATAATAGGAAGTGTTTGGACCTAGATATATTTAGAGATGGACTTTACAGCATTTCCTAATGTAACATCTGGGTTGTGAGAAAGAGGGGTCAGGATGCCACCCAACATTTCAGACTGTGAAGTAGAGATGTGGAGGGTGTGTGTGACAGGGGTAGGCTTCAGAAGTAGCGCATTTGTGGAAATGTCATCCGAGGTGTTCATTGGGAGAGTTGAAGCTGGGTATTATTGGAAATGCAGTGATGGTGGCAGTTGGACAGATGTTGGCAGCCTGCTGTCCTAAAGGGAGCCAGAGCTCTCTGAGAGCACCCGTTCACTCTGCACATGGAGTTCCAGGAGGTTAGAAGTGCTGCAAACAGAATTTCCCAGAATTGATTCCTGTTCTCTGAGGACATACCGGCTTGTGGGCATGTTCCCTACTAACCAGGAAAGCTTGTTCCAGCAGTAACTTATTCATCTGTATAAGCATAAACACAATTGCATGCTATTTTCTTATTTTAAAAAAAGATTTATTTTATTTAGCATACAACAGCTGGGGAGTAGGCCAGAGGTGCTGGGGGCGAGAAGATTCACCAGAGGTGTAGGGGGTGAGAAGATTCACCAGAAAGAGAATGGGGAGCAGAACAGGTGGATTAACTGAAATACACTGCTGAAGTGAGCAGCAGGCGAGACAGGAGAGGTCTGCTGCACCATGTGGGTCAGCTCCCTGGCCAGGCATTGAACTGAGGCCTCAGTGGCAGCCAGTAGCTTCATAGTGCTGAGACTTAACCCCTTGGGCCACCAGGTGAGCGGCGCCACTGAGCACATCATGACAGACACAGCAGAAACCCCGCTCCTTCCAGACAGGTCACCCCGAAGGCGGAATGATGAGCCTGTTTGCAGGCCCCCGCCATGGTCGCTCCCGACTGCTGCAAATTCATTTAGACTCTGAGTCTTTGTTAAGCGATGAGAACTTCTCATCGTCTGTCTGCAGCAGACAGACAAGCCAGGAGCACAGGTGCAATATGTGCACTGATAAATAGATCTGGGAGGTATGTGATGTACATGATATTTGAAGTTGAGCATAATGGATCTCCCAGGGACTGATGACTAAGGAAAAGAAAGGAGTAGGACTGAACCCTGAAACCCCCTGTGTTAAGACCACCTCCCAGTGCCAACTGCATATTCTGACACCATGCGGAGAAGGCACAGAGAGCAGGGAGCCACCAGGAGTCACCAGGACACTCATGAAGACTCAGAAGGTGGGCCTCCCTGGTGGCGCAGCGGTTGAGCGCTGGGCCTCTGCAGCACCGGTTTGATCCCGGCTGCCAGGCGAGGGTCCCACATAGCACACAGACCTCTGCTGAAGCCCGCTGCTCCCCTCAGCAGTGTAGTTCGTCAGTCTGCCTGTTCTGCTTCTGGCTCTGGTGAATTCTCTCACCCTCCCACACTTTGACTGTACCCAATGCTTGTATAAATTAATTAATTAATTTAAAAAAAAAGACTCAGAAGGTCTAGAAAAGAGTCTGAGAGTCTGTGTTTATAACCACATTTGTGCTGGTCACACTTTTAGCAGAAGAACGAGACCAGATTCCTGGCTGTGCATCAGCCTCACCTGCAGGGCATATTGAGGAAGTGATTCCGGGTCCCTGGTCATCACTCTGAGCCGCTGGGTCTGGGAGAGACCTGAGTATTTGTAACAAGCCCACATGCATCCTGGGGCTCAGCCAGATTGGGGCCCCTGATGTCAGTGAACAGGGAGCTGTGAGGACCTTGGGGGAAAAGACAAGACATGCTGGGGCGTCTGCTTTTCTTTCTCTCCCGGGAGGCATATCCAGGTGGACATGAGGAAGTGGTTCAGCATAAAGAAAATCTGTCACTGTCCCTGGATGGATTTCTCACTCATTTGATACAAATTTACAACACAAATTTTTCAAGTAAAATTTACCAAATGCATTAATAGATACATGTGAATGTGTATGTTTGTATGTAATAGTATAGTGTGTGACACTGACTCCAGATCCCTGTGGCTTGCCCAGCTCTTTCCTGTCCCCTGAGTGGTGGGACATGCAGGCTTTGTTGGTGTGGCTGCCCCAGTGGGCACAGCCAGAGGCCAGCGGGAGCAGGAGTCTGAAAGGACTGGCAGCAGCAGTGGTGGTTTCCTGCCCTGGCACCTGCATGTGCATGTGGGAGCTGGTGGGCACAGCTCTAGAGGTGGTGGCAGTGGGGGCTTTCCTGATAGGGGGAGGCAGCCTTCAGAGTACCAAGGCTTTGTCTGGAATGTTGTGTTTTCAGAAACCAGACTGATTTCAGAGCCAGTAAAGAAATAATAACCGGCACCTGTTTTAGGGCTACAAGGGTCTGTCATTAGGGTAAAGAAGGCAACCCCTTAGCTGATCCAGAAACCCCAGATGTCTTGGGAGCCTCGAGAGGATTTTCTCTGAAGATACAGGTACCATAGGCCAAGTCTGATGGTGAGACCTTGGCATGGTCCTGAGCCCTGACTTCTGGCTTTTAGGAGCTCTCAGTCTGAGGGTTCTTAAATGAAGTTCAAACAAAGCAAAATTAAAAGGTTTGCATAATAATTTCTGTTCCTGTTGAATTCATGTAAACTGACTGTGGCGGTGTAGTGTGTGGGTGAGGCCAGGGGCTGATAACAAGTTCTGGGGGCTGAACTTGCTGGCTACCAGGAGCAGCAACTGTGATTGGCTATTCTTGCATGTTTGCTGTGACTGTCTGTAACTGATTACAGCAAGGCCACATGGAGATGAAAATGGGGAACAGGCCCTTCAGGGTACGATGCCCCCTATTCTCTCAGATCATTGTTCAGTGATCTGAGAAGTGAAAGTGCTTATAGATCCAATTCCTGGCTCTGCTTATGGCTTTGTGGTGTGACAGGCAGCAGCACCCAGGCCTATCCCACCAACAGTGTAGATATTTGCTGTCTGTCCCTTTTACTTTATATCCCCTTTTGTTTTCCTTGCTGCAGGGGACAGATCCACAAAGATATCACTGAAATGTATGTCATGGTGTGTTCTGTCCTTGTTTTCTTCCATGTATTTTATGGCTTCTGGTCTTACATCCCAGCCTATTGTCCATTTTGAGTTGATTTTTGTGTGAGGTGTGAGACAGTGGTCTAGTTTCAGAGCAGGTCTAGAGACAGAGCAGGGAATAGAACAGGCAGACTGACGAAATACACTGCTGAGGGGAGCAGTAGGTGAGACAGGAGAGTTCTGCTTTCCATGTGGGATTCTTGCCAGCCGTCTGGGATTGAACCCCTGCTGCAGAGGCTACAGACAGCTTCACAGTGGGCGCTCAACCACCTGTCCCACCATGGAGGCCCTAGTTTCATTTTTTTTGCATGTGGCTGTCCAGTGTCCCCGTCACCATTTATTGAAGATGCTTTCCTTGTGAACCCCTCATCTTAACGTTGTCAACATAAACTTTACTGGATTGCATGTTGGAGAAAGGGGTTTACTTCTTCCCATCAGCAGTTGTATTTTAAAATCACAATTTGGGCCTCCCTGGTGGCACAAGGGTTAAGACGCAATCTGGAAGCTATCTGGAGCCACTGCAGCATAAGTTCTTGTATAAATAAATAAATAAATCTTTAAAAAAATAAAATAAAATAAAAATGGGTGTACAAGTTAACCTATGTCTGTCCTCTATTGTATCCACATCCAAGGCTTGTGGGGCAGGAAACTACCTCAGCCCACAAGGAGCTGAGCACAGATGGCTTCACTGCACAGATGCTCTCAAGGATCTTCCTCTGCATGGTCCTGTCACATTATGAGATGCTGACATCACGCTGCTTCTGTTATGGAAGAGACTTTTAGGGGTTTTGGGAGAGAGGCAACTTATTTTTCAGGTGGCAGAATGAGAATAATTAGTGTCCACATGGTGATCTGTGTTTTCAATTATCTACAAATTCTGTGATACACAGGAGGGGAGACAGTTCCCCCCGTGAGTGTGTCTGACTTGCTGGCTCTTCCTCGTGAGGAGAATGAAGCAGAAGGGACGCGCCACATCACAGAGTCAGGCTCACAGGGGCTGGGACTTACCGCCCAGTCTCCCCTCCTGGTCACTCTCTGGGGTGACTCCCTGCACACAGTGGACCCTCAGCTAAGGGGACGCCCACAGGACAAGGAACTGAGGGTTTTCTCCAGGAGCCACATGCATGAGCTCTGAGGCAGGTCCTTCCAAGCTGATCACAGCCATTCACATCTGCCAACATCTCATCCCCAGCGCAGCCTCGTGGGACCCAGTCCTGGAGCCTCTGAGTGAGGCCCCTCCTGCAGTCTCCGCCCAGAGACTATGCCAGATGCCCCAGCTTTGTGGTTTATCTGCTAAGTTTGAAGTGATTTGGTACAAACCAGTAAAAAATTGAGATGATAAAGTGATCAGTGTCTGTTTTCTCACAAGAAACAGGTGCACTAGAGTAACTAATGTGACAGTAAAGGTCCTGATAGCAATGTGCTGTCAGACAAGGATTCCATGTCCCCTGAAGTGTCCTTCAAAATATGTGATTTAAAAAATTATATCTACTGTTTTTAGATTCCTATTTAATTTTGCTGTTTTGTTTTCTTTATAGTATCTCAAGAACGGTGTCTGCAGGGTCATGGTACAAAGTCTGTCCAGCAGCCTGGAGTTGTGAGTGGGGCTGACTCTGCCCCACCTGCAGGGAGTGGGAACTGGAGCCCGGAATCAGCCCTGAGGGCTCATCCTCCAGGGCAGCACAGGCCTTGCTCTGCCCTCCTCGTAGGCCCCTGAATCTCCCTGACACACCAGCATTGAGGAATTGAGGGGGGATGTTCTAGCTCTGGAAAAGGGCCCCTTAACCCCCTGACCTCTCTCAACTCTCCTCCCCATGATCCTCTGTGAGCGTGTGTGTGTTTGGGATATACCAGCCCTGAAAGGACAGAAAAAGGCCCCAAATGTAAATAGTTTCCTGGTCATGTATGGAGCCAACCCCTCTGCAGTCCCACCAGGTGAGACAGAGACTCCCCCAGCCCCAGCCAGAGACCGTGTCACCCACACAGACTTTCCCCTCACAGTGTCCCAGATGCTGCCCCTTTCCAGTCCTGAGTCTAGGCCCAGGAACTGGGTCAGCAATTCTCAAACATTTTCTGCTGCAGGAGGCCTTGTAGCCCCAGCCAGATAAACTACTGGCAAGCAGTGAAGTCAAAGGGCCTCACACCGTGGGGCCGAAGTTAAAGGGCCTCACACCGTGGGGCCGAAGATTCCTTGTGCCTCACACCGTGGGGCTGAAGATCTAACATCCCTTCACTTTTTGTTCTTGGTCATAAAAGGAGAAAAATTTCCCAAAAGGTACATCAGGCACTACATTATATACATCAATATACAGTAAATAAACGGCACGGAAAATTATCTCTTAAAAACTAATTATTAAACAATTTGGCCCACTTGACAATGGGAGATGGTTTATTAAACATGCCTGACAAGCATTACAATACAACTATTATTGTAAGTTCTTTTTTGCCTTCCCTTGCAGTTTCTTGGGAAAGTTTTTAAATGAAACTATTTGAGTTAAGAAGTTTCTAGGTAGAGAAAGTTCTGATAGCTGAGTAGCAGCCGGCCCCTGGTGTGAAGGCCATGAGAATAAGAAAAGTTCTTTCTTTGCTTAAGCTTTAGCTGATGGGAATGTTCTGGTGACTATCAATTGTGTTAGGTTATTGCTTAGCTGAAACAATGAATTTTAGTGTAAGACTTAGTTTTTTATTGCCTTCTTGCTGAGAGCACAAAAAAGAGATGCGCTAATTGTTTCTGCTTTGTTTCTATGAACTTGATAATGTAATCTCAATGCTTGCAAAAAACGTATAAATAAAGAACCTGCTGAGCCTTTCGGCAGAAGATACTAACACCTCACAAAGTGTCCATGTCTCCTCATTCCCTTCCCCCCAGTCCCTAAGTTTCAGATCATTCGTATTGCCGACCTGCCGTCTCATCCTTTCAGGAACCTTGACATTTTGCCGGAGGCTGGTCCCCGGCAATTTTCCTTTCAGGATGTCTGTACACTCTCACAAATTATTAAGGATCCCATGTATAATTTTGTTATGTGGGTTATAGCTTTAAATATTTACTTTACTGAAATAAAACCTTTTTAAAAGATGTTATTACTTCTTGACTTTAGAATGATAATAACAATGTGTGCTAACAAAGCATTTTTAAGAAAATAACTTTCTGTAAATATAAGGATAATTAAAAGAGGGAAACTTTTACATTTTATGTTTTTTTTTAAAGATTTATTTATTTTTACACAAGAACCTGGGTACAGGCCAGAAACGCGGGAGGGTGAGAGGATTCACCGGAGACAGAGCCAGGGAACAGAACAGGCAGATTGCCGAGGACCAGCCTGAGCAAAATGTCGTGTCAGGGGTTCCTGAAAGGATGAGACAGCCTAGGCGACACGTTAAGGGCTGAAGGGAAGGGAGTGAGGCAGATATGCACTCTTCTTTTTGGTGCAAGTATCTCCTGCTGAGGGGCTCAGCAAGTCTTTCATTTTTTGCAAGCAGAAAAATTATGTCATCATGTATAAAACAGAGACAATCAGAGTATTCCATTCCCATGGACTACTGGCTCCTGCGGATCTTGGCTAGACGGTAACCTTCAAGGTTAATACATAAAAAACTAAGCCTTACACTAAAACTCATTATTTCAGCTAGACAATTACTTAAGACAGTGGATAGCCGCCAGTAGCATCAAAAGACTCTCCTAGGCATATGGCCTTCAGCCGGAGACCAGCTGCTTCTCAACTATCAGAACTTTTCCTACCTAGAAACTCCTTAACGCAGTTAACTTCATTTAAAAACTTTCCTAGGAAACTTCTTTTAAAAAAATGAAACTTCTAAAAAAGCAAAAGAAGGACTTACTATAATTGTTGTCCTGGATTGCTTGTCAGGCATGTTCATGTATAACAAACACTTTCCCATTGTCAGGCAGGCCACATTTACAGTGTTTAATTTTTTAGAAGGTAATTCTCCATGCCATGTGCTTATAATATTCTTATACATATACTTTATTGCCCAATGTATTTTCTGAGAATTTTTTTCTTATATGACCAAGAACAAAATACAAAGGGATGTTTAATCTTCAGCCCCACGGTGTGAGGCTCTTTAAGCTTCGGCCCCACGGTGTGAGGCCCTTTTTTCTTAGCTGCTTGCCAGTGTCTTACCTGGCTGGGGCAACAAGGCCCCCTGCAGCAGCAGATTGATAAAATGTACTGCTGAGGGGAGCAGCAGGCTAGACAGGAGAGGTCTGCTGCACCATATGGGACTCTCGCTGGCCAAGGTCAAACCTGCCCTGCAGAGGCTGTGGATAGCTTCACAGTGTGGGGCTCAACTGCCTGCGCCACCAGGGAGGCCCTACATTTTGTTTTTGTAAGTGTCGTTTTGGTCTCATTAGCAGATCTTTTAATTTTCATAGTTTCTTCTACATTTAATGTTTTGTTTGAAATCTATGAAAAATATGCAATCTCATGGAAATATGTAGGAATAGTATTTTAATAACCTTTTCAGATTATGAATATTTGACTTTGTTACAACTTTAATACTAAATTATAACTAATATTTTCTCAAAGATTATTTGCAAAGTAAAACCTGAAACAATGTCATTGAATATTTCCTATTTTGTTATATTAACTCCATAGGCCTCTCTTGTATATTAATGGATCTTGTATAGTTATATGATTTTTTAAAAAAGTTACCTATTGTTTTGTTACAGAGCAGCCCTGATATAAACCAGGTTGCCGGGCTGTGGGTCCTCACCCGCGTGCTTAAAAGGGACTTATTAATACTCCACTACAGGCACACACAAAAGGTTAATAAAAGGTTTATTTACAAGGGAAAGGGAATTAAGGAAATGTACAACTCATGGAGAAAACACGGAAATAAAGTCTTTTATGCATCCTACCCAATCCACTGACCTGGAAACTCAAAGGCACTCTCAGAGCTGGCTGAACGTTGCGAGCTGGTGGAGATCCAAAAATGGGGGATCCTCTCCAAAGCCCACGTGTCTGGCTTTATACCAAACCTGGCTGCTTAACCCCACCCTCAGGTCCCAGCAACCTTCCCTTTTGTGGTGATGGGATTTGGAGTTCCCAGTGTCTTTTGGCTTTGGTCTGGAGTGGGGGGTGGAGTCCAAAAAGCCTGTATGGAATTAGCTTTAGGACATCCTTTTCCCCATAACAAGAAGGCTACCCCACATCTCAGACTGTGAGGTAGAGATATGGAGCCTGCAGTGACACGGGCAGGTTTCAGAAGTACATTTGTGGAAATGACATCCAAGGTATTCATTATGTTACAGAACAGCCCCGATATAAAACGCGTTGCCTGGCTGTGGGTCCTCACCCGCATGCTTAAAAGGGACTTATTAATACTCCACTACAGGCATACACAAAAGTTTAATAAAAGGTTTATTTACAAGGGAAAGGGAATAAGGAAAATGTACAACTCAGGGAGAAAATAGGGAAATAAAGTCTTTAATGCGTACTACCCGATCTGCCGACCTGGAAACCCAAAAGTGCTGCAGGAGGCCTTGTTGCTCCAGCCAGATAGGATACTGACAAGCAGCAAAGAGTAAGGGCCTCACACCGTGGGGCTGAAGATCTGGCATTCCTTTGCTTTTTGTTCTTGGTAATAGAGAGAGAAAAATTTATCAAAAAGTATATTAGGCAATAAATTATATGTATCAGCATACTGTAAGTAAATAGCACGAAAAATTGTTTGTTTAGAAATTAGTTGTTGGGCAGTTTGGCCCACTTGACAATGGGAGATGGTTTGTTGAACATGCCTGACAAGCATTACAATACAACTATTATTCTAAGTCCTTTTTTTGCCTTCCCATAAAGTTTCTTGGGAAAGTTCTTAAATGAAGTTATTTGCATTAAGGAGTTTCTAGGTAAGGAAGTTCTGATAGCTGAGTAGCAGCCGGCCCCTGGTGTGAAGGCCATGAGAATAAGAAAAGTCCTTTCTTTGCTTAGGCTTTAGCTGATGGGGGTGTTCCGGTGGCTATCAATTGTCTTAGGTTATTGTTTAGCTGAAACAATGAATTTTAGTGTAAGACTTAGTTTTTTTATTAACCTTGAAGGTTGCCTTTTTGCTGAGAGCACGTAGTGGCCAAAAATCTATGGAAAAAGAGATGCACTAATTGTTTCTGCTTTGTTTTTATGCACTTGATAATATAATCTCAATGCTTGCAAAAAATGTATAAATAAAGAACCTGCTGAGCCTTTCGGCAGAAGATACTAACACCTCACCAAGTGTCGGTGTCTCCTCATTACCTTCCCCTCAGTCCTTAAGTTTTAGTTCTTTTGTAATCGCCGACGCCGTCTCATCCTTTCAGGAACCCCTGACACAACACTTTGCCGGAGGCTGGTCCCCGGCAAGTGGTGCCCGAACAGGGACTTGAAATGTAAGATTTCTTTCCTGTGCGGGGATGGCTAGGATCTGCTCCATAGGGTAGGGCGCATACCCGCCTGTAGAAAAAGCAGGTTTGGGGGAGCAATAAATCAGAACCATAATAAGGCTAGTGGGTGTCTTATTACGTGATAAGGCGAGTAAGTGTCTTATCGTTGAAAAGCTATTGGGTCATATTGAGTCTAGGGAAAAAGGACTCTTTATTAATATAAGTATACTTGTTAAGAAAGGCCTTAAAACCTCTCATGTGCAATTGGCTAGTTTCCTAAATTTTGTTGAGATGTGTTGTCCTTGGTTTCCAAAAAATAAAAAAAATTATGGCTGTCTGCATCCCTAAAGGACATCAAAAAAAACTCAACTGACAGCCCCGTATTAATAAAACAATTGTCTAAACAAATAGGTCGTTTTTGCCTGGCTGAAGACAAAATAAAAAATACAAAACAAAAGGTAAAAAAAAAAATAGCCTGCAGTATTAAAAAAAGTAATCAAAATTTTTGGGATAATAAAATTGTTTTTCAAAAGCCAAAAGTTAATTCTAGAGCCAATACTGACCTCTTTGCAGAGGCATCGGCTCCCAATTATGAGACCATTCCAAAATCCAGCCCAAATTTCCAGCCCGGACTTGGTTAAAATTGTTAAAATAAAAATAAAAACTCAAAAACAAGTAAGAAATAATGTGTCATAATCTTAAATAAAAAAAAATACTCCAATCTTTTCCTGTTAATTATTTGGGGAAGAGGCTAGGTTCCCCCTGGTGGAGTTTTGCCATTTGTTTCTTTTAAAATAAATAAATAAATAAGGTATTTCTAAATAATAGCATTCAAAGTTCATTCACAATTGGTAAAGTAATAAAAAATAATTAAATATAACTATATAAAATTATATGACTATAATATAACTAAAAGGTTTTTATTAAAATAGTATAAACCCACTGCAGTGGGCTGGTGGGGGCTGCCCTTGGTCTCAACAAGCAACTGCCTGGACTTTTTCTCCAGTGTTGGGATCACTGGCAGGTCTCTACTGCCTTCCTGCTGTGGGGGACTTAACTTTTCTATTGTCCACCTTAAAAAATTATTTTGGTTCATTCTACAAAAAATGTTCCATTTCCCTGTGTTTCTCTGATTTTAAAGTCTAAATTGTCTTAGGCAAAAACTGTTGAGTTAATTTTAATTTACTAACAAACTATACAAAATACTTATTGGTTAAATAAAAGCTTTTAAATTTACTTATTGGACCTGTTAAAGGTTAAGTTTCTTGTTAAAACTAACCTGGTAAAATATAAAGTAATAATACAGACATTTTTAAGCTAAATTCTAAACCTCAGTATCTTCACACATATTAATAAAATAACTATGTCTCAAAATGTACATACATGGCCAAAATTTTAAATGTATATCAAAAGATCTCTGTGTCTGTTTGTGTCTGTCTTTGTGTTTTGTTTTTTACCTCCGGAGGACTAGTTATAAATGGCGCTTATATAAGTTCTAATAAAAACAAATTTCAAAATCATAATCCAAATTTTTAATATACAAAAACTAGTTCAAATTTTATAATATAATTCAAAGCATATATCCTTAAAGTTATAATGTTAAATATTAATAATCTACTCTGTATAAATGTATCTTTAAAGTATTTTTCTTTCCTTGACTAAAAACGTGTATATATACATATATACATATATATATACTTACATATGTAAATTTTTTGTCATATTAACTTTACCAAGTAAAACCAAGCTATACTGTTTTTAAGTCAATTTTTAAAATCTGCAATGCTTAAAGTAGCCTTTTGGGGTTGTAAACACACAAAGCACCTCCTTATGTTCTGGATTACTAAAAAAAAAAACACCATCATAATTTGTTAAAAATTTCAGTAATGTCTAAAAAAAAAAAATTAATGACTAATGGTAAATTTTAAAAAAAAGGTAAAAAAAAGTAGTTTTGTCTTAAAATTAAAATGTCTGATTGTGCCAGCATGTGGAAAAATAAAAAAAAAGCTAAAATTAAAAATATGTAGTAAGTTGTAAAAGGTTTGAGGAAAAGTAAATTTTATTTGCCTTAATTTATAAAACCTGCAAATAATGGGTTTAAAAAAACATTAATATGTGTTGAAAATTTGGCTGTATTACATTATTTGATCAATTTATTCAGTTAATGGAAAAAAGACTAATTAATACTAAATCTTGCTTTCGTGTGGCCACACAGGCCATTTCAGTAAAGTTGTCAACATTGTGGTGCTGGACTAAACCGGTGCCTTCATGGAAATTTTGTGTTGTTGTTTCTGTTGTTTTTCTGATGCTTATGGCAAAACTTCCTAAAAATCTAAATTCAATTTCAAATCTGGTAGCCTGTCATTTGGCTAATGCAAGGAAATTTTGTGAAACCTCAGTAGAGCTCCTGAGACACTCCACAAGTTTTCTCCCTTTCCTCTGGGAAAAGGTCAAAAACAAAAAAGGGAGAGATGCTGCAGGAGGCCTTGTTGCTCCAGCCAGATAGGATACTGACAAGCAGCAAAGAGAAAGGGCCTCACACCGTGGGGCTGAAGATCTGGCATCCCTTTGCTTTTTGTTCTTGGTCATAGAGAGAGAAAAATTTATCAAAAAGTATATTAGGCAATAAATTATATGTATCAGCATACTGTAAGTAAATAGCATGAAAAATTGTTTGTTTAAAAATTAGTT